CGGCTTATGGTTCGTCAGATACGCCCAATCGAACATGTGCGAATTTGAGCGCGCATCACCCAGATCCAGGTGATGACGTCACAGCGTGCAGCCAGGTAGCCACACCATCTAGTTGTGTACAAAAATGGCCATATTCGGAGCGCGTTCGATTGGGGAACCGTTTGTCGCAGCTTCTTCGGACCAAGACCATTCGATTCAGTGTTACAAACACTACGTACTCTGTGATTTTCAGCTCGGTAAACCTCGAGGTTATACCGTATTTTAGCCGTTTCCGATTTGGACTTTTTCCGTCAGCCTCTACGCGCTGTGCGCTGCGTGCATGCAGAGATTGCAGTGCGTGCAGTGTGTTATCTTGCTGTAGTAAAGTCAACAAACTCATCACAGACGGAACTACTCCCGCACTGCCGTGCTGGGGTAGTATCTACAACAAGACTCGAGTCACAACTGACACAAGACTCAGAAAACTAGTCAACACACGGACGTGTCATGTACTACACTCGTATCAGTCGTATTGTACAGTCATGTAGTCAGAGAACGTGTGTTTCTCCTTGCCGGTGCCGGTGATTGTGCTTTGAGAAAGAAAATTACTTTTAGTTTTCCGCTCCCGCCTCATTATTTTATGCTACAGCGATGAGTGCACAACCGTGACAAGTGACAAAACAGCGAACAGCTCCCGGACCTAGAACTTTCAGATTCCATAGCGTTGCGAGCGAAGAGTCGTGCCCGTGGTTCAAAGAGCCTGCACTGTTCTCCAATTGAGTAGTCCGAAATATTCCAAGTTCGCACCAAAACATCACCATGTGGCAGGCTACTGGAGTCTACGCGAATCGGTATGGAACAACATTTAGAGCACTCGCATCACTCTTCTCCATTTTGGCGAAACTGCTCTCCAGCTATCTGATAATTACATCAGCCTCGTCTGCAATAGCTGCTGCTTCTTCATCAGAGGGAAACTCAGTAGCGCTCACTCTTGACCGGCCCGCGCGGCCATTTCTTCAGCTGAATACCGAGGTTCTCAGCCCCAGACCGAACTCATGAAGGTCAGCCATGGCTGCATCCTCACTCTCACAAGGAGTTACAGGTATTCGGGGTCGCTTGCACCAACTAATATCAGTCGCCAAATCATTTGAAATAGGACTGACACTATTGCTTTCACGCACTCCTTTTGTAAGTTTTGACCTAGCTGCACGCTATGACGTTGCAGAGGGTGTGGCGCGGCCGCATGACGTCATGGCGCAGCCCCCCAAACTCAGTTTTTCAAACGGAAATATCTCGAGAACGCTTTGTCGGAGACACGTGGGACCAACACCATTCGACTCAGCGCCCGAAACTCTACCGACCCTGAAATTTAAATTTTTCACCGGACTTCCCCTTTAAAATTCACACTTGAAAATTTCACTGCTGTTGCTCTTAGTGTTATTTCTCTAACTTAGATTTTCTATAATAATAAAATATTGTTAGTGCAATTAAGAGTATAATAGATGCAGACATGGCCAGACAACAACGAGTTCATGGAATTTTTAAGGATTTTTATGTTATTCAAAATCGATTTTCGTGTTCCGCTCATCAGTGAATAGTATCGGAACTGAGGGTACTGTGTACAAAAAAGAACATTTTATAACAGCATAATTAAAAGTGTGAACAAAAAAAGGAAGTGCTACAGCATTACATAATAGGTGTCAAACATAGTGCTAACATATATAACTGAGTGCAGGCACAAAGCATGAGGTGATACAGTGCAACATGACACAACATTTACATCTGATAACCACAAAAGAAGCATGTAGTCGAGCTAAAGTTGTTCTCGTAGCTGGTTATCAGATGTAAATGTTGTGTCATGTTGCACTGTATCACCTCATGCTTTGTGCCTGCACTCAGTTATATATGTTAGCACTATGTTTGACACCTACGGTGAGTATCGTTTATAAAGTGACCGGGTGTAACGATATACCGGCTATAATGATCGAACTCGCCAAAATCAAAATCAAATCACAAAAAATACAGCTAAAATATCACTACACACACTATTATCGGCTATACCGATATATCGCTTATTGTGATGGGCTTCAGGAAGCAAACTATATCAAATGCACAGGAAAATATCGTATTATACTGATCAAGAGTGATGATCCCAAACAATTGTTCTTCAAATTTAGTTCATTTCTTCCAAAACTGATCCAGTGTTGCCTGGATGCATATGGCAGCAGACGTGATTGAGAGAAAAATCTTTCCTGTATGCTGTAAGCAGCCACATGTACACGTGGCTGCTTTTCATGATTTTTCCAGCGTGTACGCATCATTTAATGCACAGTCATGTGCCATGTGTCAGTCATACAATGCAAATCGGCTATAGACTAGTGATGCACCAGATATAGTGATAAATTATCGAAAATCAAAGGGGCACGTTAGGCCGAGTAAAAAAAATTACTAGATGATCGTCCTTTTTTTTGGAAAAATCGGGGAGGGCGGGAGGATTTTATTTTTATTTTTTTACTTTTTACCCTCTCATGCACACAGTGTACACAACAACATCAAGGTTTTTTTTCTCTTTTTTTCTTTTTTTTTCTTTTTTTCTTTTTCTTTCTTCAGCAGATCGATACTGACGTTGTGATATACTAGTAGTATGTGGTCCATATAGTAAAGAAAGTATTAAACAAAGAGCAGTTGCAGTAGAGACAGTGTAGATGATGCACACACTTGGCTCAACATTCACCTATTCAAGTTCAACGTAAGTCTCTTGTACTACTACGTAGTAGGCATTGCTAGACTATCCCTATCGGAACGCATCAGCAACTGTTGCATCGGCAGGAACGACGCAGCCATACCACGACTTCAACACTTTCGTTGCAGCACGAATTTGCAAGAGAACGAAGGGCATCGCAACGACAGCACCAGATGATTCGAAACAGAGGACAACAACTCACTCTACAGATCTGCGTCAAGCTGGAACACAGTCAAGAACTTCGACATCGCGAAGCAACTACCAACAATTTACTTTTGACAAAGTAAGTTCGTCACGGAAAACGCGTGCACATGTTTCCTGCATCCGCGATCGGTAAAAAACCAACGATTTCGGCAAAAACTCACGATTTAAAAAATAAAATATTTCTTGGGGCGCTGACAAAAACTGGGGCGGACGGGGACGATCATCTAGCTTTTTTTTTTACTTGGCCTTATATCCACTATTTACTGTATTATGTAATGCTGTAGCACTTCCTTTTTTTGTTCACACTTTTAATTATCCTGTTATAAAAATTAATGTTCTTTTTTGTACACAGTACCCTCAGTTCCGATACTATTCGCTGATGAGCGGAACACGAAAATCGATTTTGAATAACATAAAAATCCTTAAAGGGGAAGTTGAGGCAAAAATTAAAATTTCACCAGTTGTAGTCTTCGGGGTGCTGAGTCGAATGGTCGTAGTCCGAGGAAGCTGAGACGCTCCCTTCCTACTTGAATCCCAATCGAACTCGCGCACTTCCACCGAAACTGGGTGACTGCGCCCTACTAGATGGGGATTTGTATGCAAAATGTCACCAAAAGCGCCATTTCGTTCTTATAAAAGCATGGATGACCGCGATTGGCCCATATGTTGTACTCTTTTGGACTCTGAGTCGACTGGTTTTGGTCCGAAAAGGCTGCGATGCAGCGTTCCTCCTTTATTCCCAATCGAACATGGTTGAACAAGCGGTCACGTGCTCCTGGGTGCCCAAATCACCTGGTCACACCGCCAGCAGGCGACAACTTTCACACCAAGGTTCAACTCGAGTTCAACTCGAGTGACAGGACTGCACCCAAAAAAGGTCAAACAGGCTAGTAAGTTGTACCCTGCAGGCACGGTGACCAGGTGACTGGTGTACACAGGAGCACGTGACCGCCTGTTCAACCATGTTCGATTGGGAATAAAGGAGGACTGCTGCATCGCAGCCTTTTCGGACCAAAACCAATCGACTCAGCGTCCAAAAGACTACAACATATGGGCCAACCGCGGTCATCCGTGCTTTTATAAGAACGAAATGGCGCTTTTAGTGACATTTTGCATACAAATCCCCATCTAGTAGGGCGCAGTCACCCAGTTTCGGTGGAAGTGCGCGAGTTCGATTGGGATTCAAGTAGGAAGGGCGTGTCTCAGCTTCCTCGGACCACGACCATTCGACTCAGCACCCCGAAGACTACAACTGGTGAAATTTTAATTTTTGCCTTAACTTCCCCTTTAAAAATTCCATGAACTCGTTGTTGTCTGGCCATGTCTGCATCTATTATACTCTTAATTGCACTAATAAAATTGCTTTCTCCACGCTGACTCTTTAAATAAAATATTGATGTCAATTTTCGACACCCAGAAGTAACTGGGCATTCTCCATCAGCATTCAATAATTATTTTCAAAACGAAACTCCATCAAACCCACCCACCCACAAACGAATACATTTCGTTTTGAAAATATTATTGGTAACCTTGGACAGCCCCGTATGTGTGTTTTGATAAGGGTACATTGTTTAATACGGAAAACTCAACTTTCAAATGCATTTTTCTCAATACGGCACAAAACGACATAAGCCCCTTTTTGCATCTAGAGGCTCACTATGTGTATGCGACATACAGGTCAGTTACACCACCATACAGGTCAGTTACACCACCATACAGGTCAGTTACACCACCGTACAGGTCAGTTACACCACCATACAGGTCAGTTACACCACCGTACAGGTCAGTTACACCACCATACAGGTCAGTTACACCACCGTACAGGTCAGTTACACCACCATACAGGTCAGTTACACCACCGTACAGGTCAGTTACACCACCATACAGGTCAGTTACACCACCGTACAGGTCAGTTACACCACCATACAGGTCAGTTACACCACCATACAGGTCAGTTACACCACCATACAGGTCAGATACAACACCATACAGGTCAGTTACACCACCATACAGGTCAGTTACACCACCATACAGGTCAGTTACACCACCATACAGGTCAGTTACACCACCGTACCTGCTGGTGACTCTAGCTCCTTGCCCTCCGCAATAACCTCGCCGTCTGACAGCATAGCATTCGGCGACCCATCCGCAATGGCCAGTTTCGACATCCGCTTGGCACCGCTGGATTGCGATCCCCTGCTCTTGATGGACGAGCCTCGCACACTCAGCTGGCTAGGGGATATCAAGCTGCACTCGGAGCTGACTGAACTTCTGCTTTCGGCCGTTGAGGCGCGGAACTTGCCGCCTCGCTTCTTGAAGAAAAAGGCTGAAGCACCGGCAGCCTGAGTCAAGGTGGACTCTGGTTCTGGATCCGTACTAGACTCCGTTTTGCTCGTTTCACTGAAAGAATGATACATGCCATCGTACACGGAATCCGCCTTCGGGCTGAGGCTGACCTCGCCTTGGTGTGCAGAGTTCGTGGCATGTCTTCCTGTTAAGACACCCACATGCAACAGTACATGCACACACGCACGCGCACACACATGCACACACACGCATGCACGCACGCACACACACGCACACACGCACACACACATGCACGCACACACACATGCACACACATGCACACACATGCACACACATGCACACACATGCACACACACGCACACACACGCACACACATGCACACACACACACACACACACACACACACACACACACACACACACACACACACACACAAGCATGTACACAAACATAATAACACTTGAACTGGCTCACTATCAGAAGGTAGTCTCACGCGCCTCCTCGGGAGAGGGAAGAAAGGTGCAAGAGGATTCACATTGAACATTCGACGGCAAAAAAGAGAAATGGGTTTCTGCAGCAAAGTGGCCAACCATGTTTCACGTGCTGAGAGGTGAGAAGGAGTGACAAGTGAGTTCTTAGACATGATTCATGCCGTATTTTCCAGAGTATGAACCGCACCCAGATTTTTTTGTCACGAAACACAGACATCTACAATCTTTATCACGGCTAATTCGGTCATCGTAGTATAGCCCGCACCGACTCTTTTTGGTGAATTACTCGTACTGGTGCTAAAGTGCGCTCTTCTTCTCTTGTTCGCCACAGGCCATCGTGAAAACAAGCGACTTTTAAACAACAATTTCCCACTCTCTTCTCCAGCGTCAAAGCTAAAATACATAACGTTTGCTCACTCCATCCACCATAATTACACCTCGCCTCATATCTAATGCTCACAACCCCTTATCATGTCAATACAGGCTATAGCTTTCTGCATACTCGCACTTGGCATTTGCCAACTGCAAGAACCGACCGCTGCCCTGCGTCCCCTCTGTATAAATCATTTCGCTATTTCAATTGCCTCCCATCAACGTTCTGTGATAATATTATTCTATCGCCAATTCTGTTTAGGCAAACTATCTCATCCCTGCCGTGCTTTTTTGTTTTTTTTTGGACGAGAAACCACGAACCTCGAGAACAGAATACTGCATGATAGAGGCTCATGCACGAGCCATGCTTACCTGTACGACTGGTTTTCCCACTGCTAACCATGCAATGCCTTTAAGTAAGCATTACAAACCATCCATGCGATGTAAAGCTCACTCTTTTATCTCTTAGTGGCTACAGGCAATTTTTCGTGAGTATAAAATACTTCAAATAACAGCAACAACCTCGACACGTCAAAGAGCCCAGGTTGTGACGGCATACCAACCCGCCGACTGAAAGAGGCAGCCAGTCCACTTGCACAATCCCTAGCAACCCTTTTAACATCTGCTTCGAACGTTGCACTATCCCGCAAGAGTGAAGGGACGCAACAGTCAGCCACATCCACAAGAAGGGCAGCAAAAACCAGGCCCTCCAACTATCGACCGATGTCACTGCTCAGTGTGACTTCGAAAGTGCAAGAGAGGATAGTTGCTGACCGGATCTCCAAGCACATCCAACCTCACCTCCCCAATGGCCAATCAGGCTTTCGTCCAAATGACGACTTCTCTAAGGCATTTGATCGGGTGTGGCACCAAGGACTACTCGCAAAATTGGCCCTACTCGGACTCGATGGCAAATGCCTCCAGTGGCTGGCCTCTTATCTCACCAACAGACGACAACGTGTGAAAGTGGAGAGCAAAAAGTCAACCTGGCTGAGCATTCCAGCGGGGGTCCCCCAAGGCTCTGTCTTGGGGCTGCTTTTTTCACAGCCTACACAGTTGATCTCCCAACTGCCTGCATAAATGCCAACTCCGAGCTTAGCCAGTTTGCAGATGACACTGCCATCATTGCTGCACGTGAGGAATTTCTAGCTGCAGACGAGCACTTCCAGTCAGCTATGACAACAGGCGCACAGTGATTGAAAGGGTTGACATCTCCTGGTCAATGAAAGTAAGACCACTGCCATCCACTTTCACCACACCAACCGCCCACCTCCCAGACCACCATCAATCACACTCAACGATACCAACCTCACTGTGGACTCAAGGCATAGCCACCTTGGCCTCATCATACAGCAGAATCGATGCTGGAACTTACATGTTGACTATGTTATCACTAAAGCGTCCAGGGGGATGTTCCTTCTCCCGCAACTATGCAAGTCTTTAAACACTTCTGCTCTCTCCTCTATCTATCTTACATTCGCCCTATTCTTGAGTATGCTTACGCTGTCCTCTCACACCTCCCCGCAACCCTCAATTACCGGCTAGAGCGCATCCAACGGCGCGCCGCTCGCCTCTGCTTGCATCTCCCCTCTTCGAACGTAGAACCCACTCCGTACTGCTGCACCGGTTCAAATGGCCATCACTTAGCAGCCACCGTACCCTCTCCATATTCTGCTTGCACATAGCCTGCACAATAGATATGCACCACCACACCTTCTTGCAATTCACCTACCCTGAATTCAACTCATTCGCACGCTCAGGTTCCCCCGAACCTTTGAGCTACCCACAACACGCACGAGCCGGCTAAGAGACTCCTCCATTTATTCTTCCCTTGATCTCTTCAATAACATCCCACTCGGCCTCCGGCAAATCAACCCCAGACGAGATTTCAAAGCAAACATCCTACCTCTAGGTGTCTCTTCAGTATGTAGCTGCTCACATTGCTCAGCATATCTATAGCCCCATTGTGCCCAGCCTGCGTGATAAACTCTTTATAACCATCGCCACTATTTCAGCAAGCAGCTAAACTTTGATTTCTCTTTATCCGATCCCCGTGCCTGTCTTTCTTCTTCTCGTATCGGCCACAGGCCACTGTGAGAGGCCACAGGCCATTGTGAGAGGCCACAGGCCATCGTGAGAATAAAAGATTTCAAAGAACAACAACAAAAGTTGGACTGTAACTCACCGTCAAAACGGAGCGCGTTGACCTGCTCAACGTGCTTCATTCTGCACAGGACGAGGGCGGCTACGAGAATCAGTATACAGAGTATGGCGACTACGACTCCAAACACGGTGATGTCGAAGGCAGAACTTGTTAGTTTGCCATTGCCATTGCCCGAGTTCGATACTGAACAGTTCACAATGGAATGACGCAAACAGAAAGGACAAGGACAACAACGACGACGTCGACCATGGCGGTGAAAACACAATCAACATCAGCACAACCAGCAGCAGAGGTGGCAAAAGCAGAACCAACAGTGGCAGCAGCAGCAGCAGAGGTGGCAACAGCAGCAGCAACAGCAGCAGCAACAGCAGCAGAGTTGACAACAGCAGCAGCAGCAACAGCAGCAGAGGTGACAGCAGCAGCAGCAGAGGTGACAGCAGCAGCAGCAGAGAAGGCAACAGCAGCAGCAGGAGCAGCAGCAGAGATGGCAACAGCAGCAGAGGTGGCAACAGCAGCAGATGTGGCAAAAGCAGAACCAACAGTGGCAGCAGCACCAGAGGTGGCAACAGCAGCAGCAGTAGAGTTGACAACAGCAGCAGCAGCAGAGTTGACAACAGCAGCAGCAGCAACAGCAGCAGCAGAGATGGCAACAGCAGCAGCAGCAGCAGAGATGGCAACAGCAGCAGCAGCAGCAGAGATGGCAACAGCAGCAGCAGCAGCAGAGATGGCAACAGCAGCAGCAACAGCAGCAGCAGCAGCAGAGGTGACAACAGCAGCAGCAGCAGCAGCAGCAGCAGAGATGGCAACAGCAGCAGAGAAGGCAGCAGCAGGAGCAGCAGCATGAAAATCCCATGAAGGGTTAGATAGTGAACAACATGCATGCGACTGAACAACACGCATGCGACTGGTGTAACCAATGTGATAGAAAAGTACAGTGCTGCTCAAAGAAATCCGATCACGTCAGTCAAGCTTGGGGCCCTGAGCCAGTTCACCATGCCAGTACCCATAGGTCTAGGGCTGCATAGCGCAGGGTGTGGCATGGACTCACTCAGCAGCAGCACCTTTTAAACACTTCTCAGTAGTGCAAACAGCCATGTTGATGACCCATACCAAAATGTCGCGTATAAAAGCCGTGCCTAATCCTGTAAAAGCCGACGTCAGTGCTAGGCTTCTATTCAAAGCATCTATCCCTACGCATGCCAATACTAAAACCAGGCTTATGTGCTGATAGTGTATCTCACAAATCAGACTTCTATGCGAGGCAGGCATTTATACAAGACACTACGGTATGTACTCAGATGGAGAGCCAAGGTTTAATTTATACAAAAGAGAAAGACCAAGTGGTGGTGTTAGTGGACAGTATAGCGTAACTTGTAGTTCCTTGGTCTTTCTCTTTTGTATAAGCTACGGTATGTACACGCTATAATAACCCTACCTGCGCATGTAGGACCAGTCCATTGCGGCGTGCAAACGCAGGTGAAGCCTCCGTTACTGTTCTGACACCGTCCACTGTTCTTGCAGGGCTGCTCGGCACCACCAGCGATGATGTCCTGGCTGCGGCATTCATCAATGTCGACTTTACAACGCTCACCTGTCCAGCCAGCGTGACAGGCACATGTGTAGCTACCCGGCTCATCAACGCAAGTGCCACCGCTGCCACAGGGATTGCCTAGCAGGCATTCGTTGAGGTTGGTGTGGCAGTTTGCACCAGTCCAGCCGGATGCACAGGTGCAGAGGTAGGAACCCACGGTGTTCTGGCAGGATCCCTGTCCGCTGACGCAGGTGTGATTTCCACTGCGGCATTCATCTATATCACCTGCAAAACAAAGAGAAATGAGAGCGAGCGAGCGAGAGAGAGAGAGAGAAAGAGAGAGAGAGAGAGAGAAAGAGAGAGAGAGAGGGAATTGTTAAATACCAGGTATATACTGTGTTCAATGCTCTCTTTGTGCAGCTCAAGCAGTGACCTGGTTTTACCTGTCAAAAAGTGTGTGGGAGATAAGCGACAATTGCGATGAGCCGGACCAAGGACAACCCGGGCAATATGCATCACATTCTTTCAAAGCAGAAAAATGAGTGTCAAATTTGGGTATTTTCAGAACTCATAGCTCACAATTACAAAGAATAATGCCAACACCTGCACGATGTAGGCATTGACATAAGAAACTCAGCAAAAGCACTTACGAAAGCAAGCAGTCATATGCTTGGCGGGTGCAGAAGACGTAACAGCATGGCTGATGGTGAAGTTGTCGCTAGAACTGCGGTAGGTGTCTGTACCGCTGGCAAACAGAGTGATCTCCGGTAGCTGGAGTGCTGTTCGAAGGTTTGAGAAGAATGCTAGACTGCTGTTGGCTCTAATGCCACTTGCCGGCAGTAGAGTGTTGCCAGTTGGGCAGCTGGCATTGGCTGTAGTCCAAGAAATCCCGTAGACTGGCTCATTTTTGGTAGTGTCATTCAAGACGGTCACGTGGTATCCACCCACAACACCTGTAAGTGATACTGTACATGCCAGGTGGTCATGTGCCAGCATGGACATACATACACCGAAGAGAAGCAGAGAGAGAGAGAGAGAGAGAGAGAGAGAGAGAGAGAGAGAGAGAGAGAGAGAGAGAGAGAGAGAGAGAGAGAGAGAGAGAGAGAGAGAGAGAGAGAGAGAGAGCACGTGGCACTACGTCCCATGGCATGGCAGAATCCGCCATTTCTACATCGTGGCTGCTCCCAGTCCCTGAAACATTCATTGATGTAGTACTCACAGCTGTCACCAGCCCAGGGATGAGGACATTTACAGGTGTAGCTACCGTCAATATCAAAGCAAATTCCATCATTAGCACAAGGATGTTTCGTGCTTGAGCATTCCTGGATAGTACTAGTACAGCTCTGACCGGCCCATCCAGGCGAGCATTGACAGAAATAGCTGCCACTAATATCTTGGCAGGTACCACCATTCTGACATAACTTAGCATTAGAGCGCAGAGTGTGCAGCTCGGATGGGTTGCTGTCACGCCGGAATTCCGTGCTTACATCATTTTAGTGATGTAGTGCGTACAAGCAGGATTCAAGCCGGTCTCTTTCTGCACAACTGCAGCTCAGTTGTATGCACTACGCCATTTCCCGCCTCAGATCTGTGCCAAATATGCTGTAATCGCGGAATTCCGCCGTGACAGACACCCATAGTAGAAAAGGCCCCAAGCTGCACACTCTGGTTTTCATGTACTCTTGGTTCGAGTGGTCTGCGCTCCCCACAGGGTCAGTCTGACCACCAACCAAAAGGTCCAAGAGAAATAGTCCTGGACAGCCGACTCCAAGACAGTTTTCTTGTGATCTGTCAAACCGCGAATTTGGATGCCCTCAATGTCTGCTCCAGCGCCGGGTGAGCCGGGTAATCCACCCGGTTGGGCGGCGCTTGGACCCGGTTGAAAATATACTAGTACCGGGTCACCTGTGACCCGGTTGGTACTTTACACTTTCGAACTTTGAAAGGACTGACTACATGGCTTGTATGTGTCAGATACTTTCGTTATTTTCTAGTTCCTGTCCTCTCTTTTCTAAATCCGACTTATCCATTCGCCTTTATATCATTGGGCCTAGTTCCCGTTTATTGTCCGAATTAAAATAAACCAACCAACCAGTTTAAAGCATTTGACTCGGCTGGTGAGACAGCGCCAGGTACATGTGTACCCGGCTCCGACCCGGTTGAAATGGTTGCGCCAGGTACACGTGTACCCGACTGTCCTACAATCCTAGAGCTGACACTGGCCCTGGGAAGTACCCAGCGGGAAGCAAATCATTGGTGCGGCCTTGAGCATGAGGTGAGTCATGCCCTGTTCAAGGGAATCAATGCTGTGTCCTCCCCTGGGTCTATACAACTCCCCCGCATGTCCCCTTAGGCCCTCATCAGACTACGTACATAGAACATCCAGAACAAAATCACATAAGACCTCAAAGGCAACATTTTTCCACCAACTTTTCTTGTTGTCTTGGAAACTTCAATGTAAATGTGACTTATAGGCTGTTTTGTACCTAGTTTGAAGAGGGCCTTAGGGCTGGCATCACATACTACATTCATACGTCATTACCGTATTTTTCGGAGTATAGTGCGCACCTTTGTATAACGCGTACCCCCAATCTTCATTGGGGGTGCGCACTTCAATCTTCATTTGAAGTACATGCATTTCATATTCGGAGCATAGTGCGCACCTGCGATTTAGGGCCTAAAATAGCACATCTAAATTGCGCTCTACACTCCGGAAAATACGGTAATCAGGGCTGTGTCCAGGACCAGGCACTGCCCGTAACTTTGAAATATTCATAACTCAGAATCACATACATTTTGATGGGGAAAGGCCATAGATAATATATGGCGTATGACGCAGTGCTGCCAAAAAATTTTCGCCCAACATCGGACACCCTTCACCGCCAAGGCTGGCCACATGGTGCGAATTTTTCTCCTCGGCAATTTTTTTACAGAGAATTCAAAATATCGCCTAAAACACCATGAAAATTCGCTTCATTGCCATGGTGACCCCCGGAGTTGTCATGAATTTTGTAATGATGAGTGTGGTCGCACACTGACTCTGTACACACTGTCAGCGTACATGCCATCCAGCCTGATCCAGGCATGTTACTTTGCACTTCCACAGCCAAGCGCTAGCCTTTTTAGAAGCAAATGTACAGTGATTTGTGCCTTCAGTTGCGCTGAAAAGTGAAAGTACAGGACTTCTGCATAGGAAAGTAATGATCTCCGACATTTTGGCTGCTTTTCGGACGTTTCCCTTTTCGGACCGGTTTTCGGAAGAGCCTTCAAAAATCGGACGGTTTGGCAGCACTGATGACGTCACAGTTTCCACAAAAGTTACAAAACGTGACTGCCACAATACCGAGGAAGCAAAAAAAGCTATGGACTCCAAAGGGTTAACACCGAAGCTCGCCCGACGGTAGACTTCGGCGTCCGGATAACCGAGGCATGAGTGTACAATCAGACCTCGCTTTAAACCGCACACATCCATTTTCCACAAAAAAATATCCGGATAGGCAAGGGAACCGGATAATTGCACACACATACTGTATGTATGCATGCCATGCGCTGTAAATCGGTAACCAACTATTTTCTTGCGGATGGAGAGGGATCCGGATAAAAGAGGACTGGTTAAGCGAGATCCGACTGTATGCACTATTTTCGTGTTTTTGCACACCTGTACACATAGCAGGTTCGCTTGAGACGGTACTTTAGTATGTTGACAGGTACATTAGTATGTTGACAGTGCAGAGGAGGCTATATGCAGCGCAGGCAACCAGGCGCAGTGACACTACCAGGTGCCGTACTCGCGCGATTAGAGCCCTCTCTTGAATAATGCCCTAGCTCGAATAGTGTCCTAGTCTCCAAGAGCCAGTGAAAAATAAAGCCCTCTCTTGGATAGTGCCCCCCCCCCCCCCCCCCAGTCTTGTAACCAAGCCCATGTGCAAGTTTGGTGTTCTTTTGCTAATGTTCTTGGCCATTGCTTTGCACTGGTGTTTTCAGGAACAAAATCGCAGGTCCTGTTCCCGTTTCTGTGGAGTCGTGAGCGTTTACAGTACACTTTAGGCTCTGTTTTTCTTTGTTTTATGCTGGTTGATGCAAATGTACCAGCAATGAAAAAATAGTGCCCTCTCTTGAATACTGCCCCATCTGTGATGGACATTGAAAAAAATAGTGCCCCGGGGGCACTACTCGCGCGAGTACGGTATTATATTTTCTGAGTGCAATACATAATTTAGAGAATTTTGACACACTACGCATGTGCTGCGTATGGTGCCATGGGGTTGCAGGACTCGACGAAGTACCTCGGATAGCAGCAGGTACCTTTTTCCCACTCCCCAATGGGGTGTGTCTTATCAGTGTCCACTGTACTGAATTAGATAACAGCAAAATGACTAGTATGAGCCCAACCCAGGTCAAATCTGGATACTAGATTGCTACTGTTTACATTTTCTTAAATCTGGTTTTTGCACCCGAATCGTAAAAGAATTACCGTATTTTCCGGAGTATAAACCGCACCCAGACTTTCTCGTCACGAAATACAGACGTCTACCCTATTTATCACCGTTAAATTGACCATCATAGTAAAACTTTTCTAAGCACTCGCAGACTCCATTGCAGCCATTCACACATTATAGGATACCTCACTTCAAACTCTCCAACTACGGGTTGAATGGTTTTTTTCACCCTGAAGATGGGCCATGCCCGAAAATTTGGTGCATTCCATTTGTATCTAATATTATTTATATTTTTTGGAAGTGAAGTGAACGTATGCAGCGAAGAGACCGTAGTTGGAGAGTTTGAAGTGAGGTACCCTATAATCATAGTAAAAGCCGCATCAACTTTTTCGGTTGAATTACTGGTGTTTAACCCTTTACCGTTTTAGGTATTTGTACAGCAAAAACCGACTTTCGTTGTTCATGCCATAACTTTCTTTATTTTTCACTTTTATTATGTACAACATAGGGTGATTCTGAAAGTAAAAACCCTCAGGAACGTGATGCAATAACTTTCATGTCCAAAAGATGAACCAAAATGACAATTTCCTACTTAAACGTATGCCTGCAGTGACGCAAAGATCTAACTCACCGGCCAATCCTGATGACGGGTAGCTGGAAAGTAGAAGGATTAGCTGGGAAATCCAAAGTAGAAAACGGTGCCGCCGTGCCTAGAGCACGCACCATTGCGCAAACACACCACACAACACCATGTCAGAGAGAGGCTGTGCAAACAGCACAGCAGAGTAAATAACCATGTCGCAGGGGGAGAGGTGTTGTTGTGCGAACAGCAGGGCTGTGCAAACCCACCACGGCATAGAGATGTGTGGCAACGCAGTCAGCAATGCAGTCAGCAACGAAGTCAGCAATGCAGTCAGCAACGCAGTCAGCAACGCAGTCAGCAATGCAGTCAGCAACGCAGTCAGCAACCCAGTCAGCAATGCAGTCACCACTGTCATCACATTGCATTTTTCAAAAAAAAGAGGCTGTTTTTGAACGCTCATGATCCAGTGCCAAATCCTTTAGTTTTTCGATCAAAAGTCAAAAATCCCGGTATGACGGTAGTTACCCTAGTTTTCCGGTAGTGTACTGTAAAGCGTGAAATTTTCGCGGCGTTTTTAGTTCGCGTTTTCAGAATCCGGACAGGTTTGCGAGGTTTTAATTTTGCGATTGCAGAATGGCATTCTCGCTAAACCTGTGGCATTCTTGCTAAACCTTTCATGGATCTCCTTTTCGCGCTGTCTAAATTTCGCGATTTCGCAAAAAATTAGACCATCGCAACAATTTCACAATTTTACAGTAGCGGGAAAACCGGTATGGTTGGCAAGTATGGTACAGCACCGCGTGCTAGCAAGTCCACAGGTGCACAACACCCGCTCCAAGCTCAACATACACAATGGAATTTCACAGAGCGGCACTGCACCACTGCTGTGGACATTGAAATCCGCGGAGAAGTCGAGCGGCCACAGATGGGTGGCCAGGTAGCCATCGTTGCACTTTCTGAACGTGATCATGCCAAAACTACAAGAAAAGTTAAACTTTTTTGGTCGTTAGACTTTCCGGTTTTACAGTAGATCCTGCGAACTCTTCTTCAGTCAACAGTACACTGCAGTACATTGCAGTACACAGTACACTCCACACGTGACGTCAGTGCCTGTAGACTTGTGCATGAGGTGGTGGTAGTAGATGACTGTACAGTAGTACAGTGCATGTCGACATGTTCTGGCCAACCACGTATGGATACCTGACTGACTGCAAAGTATCCACTCTGGCTAAGCGCCTGAATATTGATACGAGAGAGCTTGGAAGCTCAGGACCCTACGCTATGCTTTTTTGCCTTGATGAAATAATAATAATAATAGGGATGTTATAAATTCTTTAAAAAATTCCTTTTTTTAAGAGACATAACCTAGGATTCGAACCCGCACTATCGCACGCCCTGCATGCATCCCCCGATACACTTCGCATACATACTAATTCTTCCAAGTTGCTTCACGTTATGATTTTGCATTTGAAAGCCCTATTTGAATATGCATTGTGGCCAGGCGTCTTTGATGGTACGGTACAGGACAGGTACGATCGAGGGTAATACGACACCGTCTACCGCCTTGATGACGGCAAAAAAAAGCATGGGAATGTTATAAATTCTCCTATTGTTTTTTCAGGCATATCCTGGGATTCGAACCCGCACTATCGCCCTACATGCATTCCCCCATACACTTCGCATTCATACCCATTCTTCCAAGTTGCTTCACGTTATGATCTTCCGTTTGAAAGTCCTATTTGAATATTGCGGCCAGCTGTATGTGGCCAGCTGTGTTTGATGGTACGGTACGGGACAGAAACGGGATAGCGCCAGGCGTGGCACAAACAAACACACAAATACCAAATTAAAGCTGTTTGAACCCTGGCCTAGCGCCAGACGTTACTGAAGTAACGTCTTCTGCATAGCTACGGGAATAAAAACTAGATGTGCACTCATATCATAACCATAGCGACGAATAAAGTATTCCACACCGTTTTCTTGTCACAATTATCAATGGAATTCGTGACTAAAGAGAATGATGAAACTACAATAGGAGTTAAGTAGTTGGAGGTGACAGCGTTGAGAATAGCTATACTGGCTCTCAACGTCTGTTTAGCACAACTCCATGAGCGACTCTGACTCATGCTGCTACCTGGGGCTTTATGAGGTGTTCGTCGCGCTGGAAACAAAGCGTCTCTGTAAGTTTGTATCCCTGGTGATGGTTTGGCCTGGAGAGCATTATATAAGTGGTGCTTTTCAGGCACAATCTTCCTCAGCCTACTCAAGCTCAACTGATGAGGGATGAATTCCCCGAAACACTGTGTATTGTATTGAGCAGGGAGTGGTGCTTTCTTGCAAGTTTGCCGAGTGGAAGGTGCGACGTGCTCCTCGTGTGCTCCGGATGGCAGTCGTGAGTCAGTCAAGTGTCAAGTTCGGCAAAAAGCGGGTGTTCCTTGTTGGAACAATCAACTACAACTTAGTGTATTTTTTGTTCAGGCTCTTCTCGATCTGGGGTGAGATTTTCAATCTACCATTTCTCTCTCAGTTCAAATTAATGAAGCGGAAACGGCTGATGGCGATGGTCTCCTGAGTCTGCATCTTTATTCTCATGTTTGACAGCATGTTGATACATATGGTGGTAAAGACACACCTGGCAGTATGGCGGTAAACACACGCCTGCCCACGCACGCTCTCTAGGCTGCAAAGTTCTGGCACAGAGCTCTCCTTCTCACCACCACCACCATCAGTTCGCGCCTGGCGCCTGGTCGATGCATGGTTGGCGGTATCCGGCATAGCAGGCTGGTACATCAAGTAGCGCATGGCACATAGCAGATGACACAGCAACGACATAGCTCGATCGCGACGTACGTTTCGTCCCCGCTGGACTCATCAGGCAATCTTCTTCTTGGATGTCTTCATACGGAGCTTGACTCGGGAGAATGAAGTTGAAGACACCACTGCAGCTGTGCTTATGGTTGATAAATATGGTGGTAAAGCCAGGTGTGTCTTTACCACCATATTTATCAACCATAAGTACAGCTGCAGTGGTGTCTTCAACTTCATTCACAGCATGTTGCATACGGTATGCTTAGTAGTCATAGCCCAAATTTGCTAGCAATTCTTGGAGCAAAAGATCGGATGCGCAAGTTGCCGGCAAGTTTTGAGCAAAATATCGAGTTTTGGTGGGCTTTTGAGAAAATCCAAGGCTTCTCAGGGACTTTCTCAACACAATCAGTCACCAAAGTTGAAAACAAGCACAAAAGTTGGACAAAACAGACTCATGGCCACATTTTTGTAGAAAGTTGAGCAGCAGCAGGAGCTCAATCAAAGATGCCTCGTCATCAGCGACAATTATCGTTGATTTTTCCTTGAAACTCATTTTATCTCGAGCAAAACCAAAACAAAATATAGACGGAGAAAGGAAATGCCAAGCAGAATCTCGAAAAGTTTGTGGCAAAATTATGCGGCAAAATATCGATGTTGGCAGAGCAAATTTGGGCCATGACCAATGCTTTGGCGGAGTCCCTGGCATTTTGTGAGTGTGAGTTTACCTTAGAACATCTACTTGAGTATCATTCTATTACAATCATTATGATTATTATTGTCACTGTACTGTGCATTCAACCTTGAGGTGACCCTGCCTTTTGGGCATTGCATCAGTGCCCAAACCGCTCTCTAACACATAAAAGTCGTTGATAAATAATTATTATTTTTTCGAAACCGACGAAATGCCGCACTTGAGAAAGCGAAGCAGAAAAGGGAACAACTGCAGCAAACAGATCTAGTGTGTGTACTAGTATTTCTTCAAAAAATTGTCCGAGGAAGGAGTGCAGTGCAGCAAACCTGCCGCGTCAACAGCGTTTTACGCAACTTTTTGGCATATCCATTTCGGTTGGCTGCAACTAGGAAAGAAAGTGTCTGGCTACTCGACATTCCCGAACACTTACCAGCTTGGCAGCCATTTGCTGTCGTTGGCAGATCGTCCCCAGTGATCCACCACGAAGGTCAGCTGTACAAACTAACAGTTACCACTATCCCTGGATACCTCAAACAACGGAACGAGCGTCTAGCAAACATCGAGCAAAGCGCTTCTCCAGGAGTCGAGAGCAAGGATTCAAACAGCATGCATTTTCCCTGCCAAAACCGGCAAACATGGTTTCGGCTTGTTCCGTGTATGGGACGATCCATGATCCAGTCCTTCGCGCGAAACGGAAATCTACGAGATCGAGAGCTTTGTACTGTACTTGTAGCTGTAGAGTGGAGTGGACCATGCACCGTAGCAGGGGTACCGGGGTAGGCGTATGTTTTACCGTAGCTAGCTGCTGATCTGGCGCGGTCAGGGCAGAAATTTTCGGTGGTGTAATATTTTCGGTATTCGCCAAAATCGGCGGTTCGGTAGCGGGAAATTTTCGGTAAAACCCGTTCTCCAGGTAGGTGTGCTACTAAGTTTGTACGATGTGAGAACCTTCGTGTACTAAGGTCACACTTGGTATGCTTTTATGTGGAGCTCGAAGGTAAACTGGGTACGGATTGACTGCACAATGTGCAATGTTTGTACAAGGTCCGTGTTGTATGACCTACAGACAGGAATCCACCTCCACAAGGCGGCCACCTAAGGACGAGATGGTGGGGCGCTCTGGCGGTACTTTACGGTACTACATGTATACATTATCGGTTGTACCGAAAATTTCGGTGCGTTTTATTTTCGGTAAAAATTGTCGGCACCGAAGTTACCGAAAATAAAACACCACCGAAAAATTCTGCTTTTACAGTAGATCTACGAGTACCCCACTGGCCCACATGTACCAGTGGCATGGCACCACTGTTCTTATTAAGGCCAAAGGTGCGTTTGGTTGGTACGATCTAGAACAGGATCGAACAGCTGGTGCACATGGAGCAGCCTGATGCCAACCAAACGGTACTCCAAAAACAGAGCATGATTTTTGTGAAAAATATGCCAAATTTGGTGCATTCTTCAAAATGTGTATGGGTCACCATGGTCACTGTGTACGGTACGACGAGTCTAACCCCAAATTTTATGCACGTAATCATTTGGGACCAAACATATTTTTTCGTAAACCGGCCTCTTGTATACGGGCGCGGCGTGGGCAGAAGTAACACAATGATCCACCAAAATCGACGTTCCCGCCAGGTTTCACTGTGAAAAAGTGAAACTGCTCGGTCTGCTCCGGGATCCGGCCTCGAGGCCGGAGCAAGCAGAACATGTTCTGGCCGACCCAGAACAGGTGCAGTCCCAACCAGGGAGTAGTAAAATACAGTATTTTACTACTCCCTGGTCCCAACCAAACGCGCTGTTCTGGTGAATCCTGTTCTACTCTTTGTAGTTCGTACCAACCAAACGCGCGCCCAAGTCTTGCTCTAATAATAATAATGTAGTCCATGCATGTCACGTGCCTGTTGTCAGGTCGTTGCTAGCATTTGGCCAATCACAGCAGCACCGTACCAGGGCTAGGCCCAGACAGATTCTGCTCCGGTCGCCTCGATATTTTGCGGCAAAATGTTGCTGCGAAATCTTCGATATTTGTAATGAGGTGCGGGACATCACTGCCTCGCTATTGAAACGTGTCGCCAATAGTGTCGCTATCGAGCCGCACTTACAACCGCTCTCTGGTGAGCAGCTCCGCTACAAGACTGCCTCCACAGAAGACCAGGCTCGACTTGATGTTGCGGCGAGTGGTGTTTGGGGAGGTCGGTTTGAGAGAGTCTTTCTGGATATTCGGGTTTTCAACCCCTTTGCTCCCTCAAATCGATCCTCTTCCATCACCGCTTGCTACCAGCGCCATGAACGTGAAAAACGGAGGCGATACGAACAGCGCGTCAAGGAGGTCGAGCGTGGAACCCTCATCTGTAATAGTTTTACCTTGACACTTCTTGCTTGTCTTATGGTAACACCTTGTGTTCCTACTATTCTCACTCCTGCGGTTCTCGCCTTTCTTTTGCTTTATAACCTCTGGTTTGAACATCATTCTGGGAATTCTCCAATCAATCAAGTCTATACTGTTACACTGGTAGCTTGAGGATGGTTAAGATCATCGTTTGCCCTTTGACGTGCCATGTGCTCCTGGCCACTACTGCTCTGCTATACGCCGCTTTCCGTGAGATCCGCCGCGCTCGGGACAACGTGGCTGCTACAGTTGGACGACATCAATTACCTGCTACATCAAGCTCAAGTCCTCCGGATCTAGCCCCGTGTCGATTGCGTTCTCTCTCCCAGACAAGCCCGAGCGTCAAACGCGTTACCAGAGAACCGAATGTTTTCCATGGCAACCCTTCCGAGTTCAAAGAGTAGGTACAGCCTCTTTTACGGGCAAAATAAACACAATGAATATTTTTTCCCAAATGTTCCAAAAACTTCAACTCAAAGTTCTAGAAAGAAAAGAAAAAAACGAAAAAACACGCAAAAAAACAAAACAGCATAATAATGTATACCTACTTAGGTAAACAGCAGCAAGTTCAACTTCAAGTCAATATTCCAGTCACTGTTACCGCTCGTGCACGCTAAGCCGGTACCCGGGCCTCCACCACTGCCAGTGCAGCAGAGGTATCACCCACAGCCAAGGCAGGCTGGCTAGAGAGCCTTCTGCACCCTCGGAGGCACATGATGCAGGACCGCAAGAGGGAAAAAGCGATCCTGCACCTGACGAAAGCCATCACATGAGAATACTGCTCCCCTCTTTTCGCCGCCAACAGAGAGGCCACTCGTTTGTAGAGGGCCGTTGCTGCCTTGCCCATGCCTCCACTCGCAGACATCACAGCCGGAACAAAAGTGGCATGCTCCACTTGTCTCACTCTCTCTTCGTAGTGCCTTCGTTTCTCTCTTTCATGTCGATGATACACAGTGGTACGTGGTGCAGACTGATTTGAGCGAGCATAAGGATTAAAAACCCGGACATCAATAAGGGTTCGCTCAAATCGACTGCCCCACAAACCACTGGCAGCGACATCAAGGCGTGCATGATCCTCCACGTTGGCCGTTCGGTATTGCAATCGCTCACCGGTCAGTGGCTGCAGCGTAGGCTCCGTGGACACATTGCTACAGACTTGGTGTAGGATCTGTGCGGTAGTGTCACGAATGGCATTGTGTCGTATGGTGGGAAATCCTCCATGAGGACAGGATAGTGAGTGAGAAACGCTCACCTCTTGGCCACATGAACAATGAGTCGGTATTCTCGCCGGCGTCCATCCATAGCGGAGACACAGGCCGTCCCAGAACTCTTGCTTCGTGAGGCTGAAACCGTACTTCTTCAGCGGACGACATGTTAACCAGCTAGATGAACCCTTCTCTCTAGCGATATCGATGACATTACGCAGACTCGCGGATGCATTCTGGACCACGTCCTCCATTGCCGCTGCCTGCGCTTGACGGGACTCTGCCTTGACTTCTGCCTTCATCTTGCGCATCTTAGTTAAGCAATCGTCAAGTGCAGTGTCACCAGACAGAATCTTGCTGGTGAGAGACTCGGTAATGCGAACTGACGAGTTGTATTGCCCACACAAGGACATAGGGCTCGTGATACCCAAGCCGCCCAAACGACACGGGAGAGCGAACACGCGCCGGAGATCCCCACCAGGAGGTGAGCGGCAGGTCAACGCTGGAATCAGTTTAGTTCTAATGGCACCTTCAAGTGGCTCCAGCAGGTGCTCGGGGATGTCCATGGTTCTGCATAGAAAGGTCCATTTCCCTCTCAGTCCTGATACAAATGCTGAGGAGGCTGCCTGGGGCTGAGTCTGTGCAATAGTTGCCAGCCGAGTTCAAAGAGTGGGTATTTACGGTCGAGTTAGCCTTGAAGTGCTCACCTCAAGGTGACCCGGAGAGCCAAGTTAACTTTGCGGCTAGCTACCTCGCTGGGAATGCGCGTCTTTGGCTAATTTCTTCAATGGAAGCAGGTGAGCAATTTTCGGATTGGCATTCTTTGAAAAGCGCCCTAGCGCGAGTGTATGGCCCGCACTATGACGGGGAAAGAGTGCGGTTGGATATGTTCTCTATCCAACAGCGTGGGTCAATTGAATCGTACGTAACGGAGTTTTCTCGGCTAAGTTTACAGGTGCCGGAACTTGACTAACTCTCCAGAGCCTTGCTATTTGTCAACGGCCTGCACGGTAACATGCGGACCTTGGTAGTGAAGGAACACCCCACTACACTGTCAGCCGCCGTTCAGTCAGCGCTAGCAGTTGCCTCAGACAGCCGATTTCAGCGCAGACCACCACTGGCGACCGCGCCGGGATTCGCACCACCATCAGGTAGCAGAAAGCTAACAAAACTAAGCCCCGAGGAACGTGAGACATTACGAGCCCAGGGGGGCTGCTTCGCATGTCGTCGACCAGGCCATATGGCCCAGAATTGCCCGCAGCATCGAGATGACCCAAACGGTGGACGTCAGTAAGGCCGATGCGATTACTGACGCAGCAAGAAAAGGCATCACCTGCGTGTAGTGTGTGCTCCGTCTCTACCCGTAACCGATTCAGTAGCCTCGCTGTGGAGGATGTTGACGATGATGCTGAATGCTCCGAAGCCAATTTCAAGCGAGATGTTACACCAACTATTGAGGCCCAGGTTACCAGCGTCAATGTGGAAACGGAACATGAGCTCCTGCGTGTAGAAGGCAAAATCAACGGTCGTCGCGCGCTTATGTTAATAGATTCGGGCTCGACCCATGATTTCATTGCCGAACAGTTTGCCAGGAGAGTTAACCTGCCAACCGAAATTGGCTCGGAAATTGGCTCGGAAAACCTGAATGTCACGCTGGCTGATGGAGCATCAAGCTCGTTTCCCATGGAGACGACCATGAATTGAAGGTTATCGTAGGCGACTTCAGCGATAACCAAACCTTCACGGTGTTCCCCCTTCATCGCTATGACGCTATATTGGGGAAACCTTGGTTAACGCGTAACAATCCAGACATAAACTTCCGGACGAATGAAGTCAGGTTGAACTCGAATGGTTTGCCTTGTGCGTCGCCCAGTCAAAGCGAACCGACCGCTCCTGTGGAGGCGATGTTCATATCTGGTCGTCAGGCTAGGCATGCTCTTAGGAGTGGAGACGAAGGTGTTCTGGCGTGGGTCAGCGTAGAAGACGGCATTGGCAAGGAACCTCCCGACAAATCCACTCAGAACGAGCACC